CGTTCCGAGCAGTAGTTTTTTTTAGATAAAAAGGTTCAAAACAGGCCAATCATACATTACGGTTGAACGGAAACCTGTCCGTGAGTCGCGCAACGATAGTTTAGTGCACTAACACTATCGACGCGCGACTCACGGACAGGTTTCCGTTCAACCGTAATGTACGATTGGCCTGTTTTCAACCTTTTTATCTAAAAAAACTACTGCTCGGAACGAAAAATGGCAAATAACTTTTTAATTTATTTTTTCGACGACATTCTTGCTATGGTATTTTGATTCGCGAATTTCTGGACACCCTGTATATTTAATACGCATGTATACCTTGTTTAAATATATATTTATTATAGCAGATGTAATAATAGTAAGAATGCCAATCTGTATATCGGCCATGGCATAGATTGTCTCAAACATTCTTTCTAACTTAAAGGCGGTCACAATATAATAAAAAAGACAACCAAAAGTAATCCATACTGTCAAAATATAGACAACACTTAAATAAATTTTTTTCGAGGAGTAAACTCCTAAACCAATTAGGAAAGAAGTCAGAACAAGTGGACGTATAGCCTGTTGTATAGTAGTCACCATAATTATCACTATTGTTGTCCCTGCCGTAAACTGACACCGTACATCAATTCGATACTGACACATGTCTCATTTAGTTGCCGCGTAATTCATTTATTATTAAGTTGATAGAGCGATACAATCGATTAATGCATTAGTACCATGAATTATGTAATTTCTTTTTAAACGTACATAATGACATAATCGATTTCACTCTCTTTTCTCTCTCTCTCTCTCTCTCTATCTCTTTCTCTCAATGTCATCACAATTATTAGACATTTCCACCAATAACTGGACTAGGACTTTTAGCCCAGAAAGTAACTTATCAGTTAAAATATCTGTCTTGACATTAAAGTTATGGTAAATGTGAATTAAGCACAAATATTTTGATATTTTCCATTTAATGGATAACCGATTTATTAGCTTTTATGCTTCTGTAATCAATGGATTAATTCTTCAAATAAAAATCAATCTTCCTATGATTAATCAAAGAGGATTTTACTTATGAATATCTATAATTAATCTGATTTATAAATCTTAAAGAACTTTTTATTTGAAACTGATGTTTTTATTTAAAACGTATGTACAATTAGTTGATAATACACATTCATAAAACTAAATAATAATATTTGTGTAAATAGATAAACTAAATAAGTATTTACAGTGATTATACATTACATGAAGAAGATGACTGATGTACAGTTAATTTTTGTATCAATTTCTTAAATTTTAAATAACGAGCTTGAAAATAAATATTGAAATAGGGTAATTGCATATCTCTTTTCTACACATCTCTATCGAAACATGTTTCGTTAATCCTGTTAGATGTTAATGTTCGAGACATGGGAGAAGTATCCATTTGCAATATAAAAATAATAACAGTAAGTACCCAGATGAAGAACTAAAAGAAGAAAATTCAATTATATTCATAAAGTATAAATATCCCTATTTTAATTTGTCTTATTTGTTAACTTTAAATTTCAGATTGTTATTACATTAAACTTATACGGATGTAAGTATATTAAAGAATAACCTTATAAATAAATTGGTAACCGAAATGAAACATGCCCATTCCGCAGAACTCCAATGGCCGAAGTGATATTTGCAAAAGAAACTGATAAATCTATATTATAATATATTATTCAAAGATGTTATCTTATTTTTTAAGATTACTTAAAAGGTATTTAGAATTAGAAAATTTATTTCACCTCTTTACGCGTTTTAGTAAAACGAATATGATCTGTTAATTTATGCGTCAAGGCGTTAGTCTTTTGCACCTGAAATAATATAAAGTTAATTACATTACTTATGATTTTAACATTCAGAATAATTGTACGGTTATCAATAATTGAAGGTAGACATATACACATATAATGAAACAATTTTTAAATTTTGATAAAGGACACAATTGCCTAACCTTTTATTCTAAACCTGAAAAAAGGAGAGAGAGAGAGAAAGAAAAAGAGAGAGTGAGAGA